TTATTTGTTCGTTTTATTCCCTTTTTCTTTTTTTTCTTTTCTTATAGTAAATACCCTGTATATAAATGATTGCAAATGGAATGTGAAAATTGAAAAAAAAATATTTAAAAAAAAAAAAAAAAAAGAAGCTCAGCGTCTTAGCCACTGAGCCACCATGTCCCTTAATTGATTATCTACATTTTACCAAGCTGAATCTCACACAGAGGAGTTACTTATTCCTCCTAAGAGATGCCCAGATGAGGAAAAACAGTGCAAGAACCTGTTATGCTTGATCTTCAGGAGGTCTTGTCTATTTTGAATCCCAATAACTATTGACACTATCAAACAGCCAATCAAAATTATTCCCAACTTCTAACAACTGCATTTGACATTATTCTGGGCTTTGATTCCCCAGGTTTTTCCTTACCTTTTCAGATTTTAGGAAGGAGTGAATTAAGAATTACTATATAGTTCTTGGCAGGGAGTTTATCAGAAAATTCCAGAATTGTAGGCTGGGCTAGGAAATTGAAAACTCATCCCTCCCAAAAAGACAGTGACCAACCACTTCTGCTAGATCCTAAAAACCTTCATGGATATTGAACTCCAACTAGACGTTCACTTTAATTCTAAAGTATTTGCACCTTTTTTAAACATTTAAAATCAAAATGGCATTTTTCTTTCTTTGGTTGATTCATTTTCGGTGATATACTGCCAAGAACTTAAGTCCCATTTAAACTTTAAAGACAGTGCCAGAGAAGGGCTTTAAAATAAGTTCATGGCTCATCCTTTTTTTTTTTTTCAATTAGAGAGGCTAAACATTAGATCTGAATTCTTCTCATGCTTTCAGTCACTAATCAATCCTGCGTAGAAACTGCCTTTGGACTTCATAAGATGCCAGGTTTTTTCTATAAATATTCTGCTTAACCAAACAGCAACTTAATATGAGAGGCTCAGTGAAGCAGAAGATATAGAAATACAGTAACCTGATTCTAGATCTTTAAAATTGCCCGTCTTCGATAAAGATCTTCTCCGCTTTCCATCTCAGTACAGGTAGTCCTCGAGTTACAACCACAAATAAGACCAGCATTTCAGTGGCTAAGCAAAGCAGTTGTTAAGTGAGCCATGCCCACTTTTTCAATCTTTTAATTTTTGCTTCCACGATTTTTAAGCGAATCACTTGCAGTTAAATGAATCACGGTTACCGTATTTTTCAGAGTATAAGATGCACCTTTTTCCCTCCTAAAAGAGCGTAGAAATGTTGGTGCGTCTTATACACCGAATACAGCCATATTTGGCCTCCAGAAGCCCCGTCCCCGCATCCCATTTTTGCGAAAAATGAGCCATTTTTCACAAATACTGAGGCTTTTTTGCCTTCCCTCAGCCGCCAGCAGCAGTCTACAGGCTTCATCAGGGCTGGAGCAAGGCAAAAATGCCCCCATTTTTGTGAAAAATGGGCGAAAAACAGGGAAGCCTGCAGAGGGCTGCTAGAGGCTGAGGGAAGGCAAAAACTTTTTTTTCTTACTTATCGCTTCGAAATCTTGGTGCATTTTATACACCGGTGCGTCTTATAGTCCGAAAAATACGGTAAATGAATTTGGCTCCCCCGCCCCCCCACAATTGACTTTTGCTGGTCAGAAGCCAGCTGGGAAAGATCAGCAATGACAAACACGTGACTTCAGGATGCTGCAGCCATCTTAAATACAAGCTGCCAAAATTTTGATCACATGATCGCGGAGATGCTGTGATGGTCGTAAGTCACTTTTTTGAGTGCCGTTGTAATTTCGAACGATCACTGAATGAATGGTTCTAAGTCAAGGACTATCTGTACTTACTGAATACATCCAGACAGACATACAGAAAATCCCATTATATAGTAGAACACTCAAAGTAACTTTTATTCATTCATTGCTGCAAACTCAGCTACACCCTCTTGTTATGGCCATTAACCACACACCCACCTTTATGGCAGCCTGGGAGGAATTAATGAAACCAACTGTATGTTACAGAAGATTGTCACATACAGGGGTGTTTTTTTTTTAAATTGACTTTTTAAAAGCAGCTGCCACAGGCAGGATTCCATGCATAATCCTTACAACATGAACCCTAAATGGCCTTTAACAGTAACCGCCTAACATACAAATTAGTTCTTTTTAAATCTGTACCCATCGCACAACTGAATGGAAAACAGCCACATTGAAACATTTCCGAAAAGGGGTGCTTCAATTCATTTACACCTAGCAAATCAGATATCGCTGAATAATATTCAATTTTTTCCCCTCCTTTTTAAGCACAGTTTTTCTTTCCCGCGTTTTAGAATACGAACAGCAGTCAAAAAAAAAAATGAAGCAAATCTCCAATGGCAAAGAGAGGATTTATGAAAATTATAAGATGTAACAGAGGTAACACAATAAACAGAACTGGAGAAAGAAGCGTGTAAACTTACCTTTGTTTGTGACTGTGTTGAACAACTTTTCTGAGCTGGCATCAGAGGCCTAAAATAATAATAAAATAAAAATAAGTTAAAATATTAAACCAATTACAGAGAAGAACAAGTAACAAGTGTTGATTGCTTCATAAAGACCAGAAAACACTGTGGGGTTTTTTTTTTTAAAGTCATAGTCAGAAAAAGATCTGGGAAGGACCGAAAGCAAAGATAGGAAACAAAAGACGAACAAATATGAAGTTTCCATTTTTGCTGCCCAGAAGATGGTGCTATTTAGCTGTGTAGGAATATCCTGTTATCTGTACATAAAGTAATGTTGTGTTTTTCACTTCCTACACATAGAGGGGGGAAGAAATTGTGCAGAAATGCTTTTGTGTGGTTTTCCTTATCATTCTTCCATAGTTAAATGAGTAGCACCTTACAGATGTTGGTCATTGATTAAGCATCACATTCCAAATTCCAGGACAATAATAGTAGCTTATATTCCAATCAGGCCTCATGTAAGCATATATATTGAATTATCTGGACGCACAATGGCCTCGCTTAGTAGACTGCGGGAAATTTCTTCACAGCTCAGATTCAACTCAACCATTTTTGACTTGACAGTATCCCAGACCTGCAGGCTTCTCGCAAGCCACTTTCTTCCTCTGCCTCTTCTTAAAACATCACAATAAAAAATAATATAGCCTTTTCACAGCCTCCATGGGTTACCTCTGTGTGAACAATTTTCCCCCACTATATAAGGTTGGAATATGATACAGCAGAGCTATGATGTGATAGATCATATGATAGATCATAGATCTGAGCCACTATATTCATTTCACATCCATCTCAGCAAAATACAAGTCCTTTCCCTTCAATTTGGTTGTTGTTGTTGTTGAGTGGCTAAGTTGCATCTGACTCTTCACCAACCCATGAGCCTTAGCACACCAGATCCCGTTGCCTGCTGTCTCAAATTTTTATTAATAATTACATTTATTTCAAAGAACCCTACCTGATACACCTCTTTCTTCCTTGGGCCAAATTGAAAATAAAACAGATCAGGCAGGACTTCTACAGCTATTACAAGATGTTCCTTAATTGGTTTAATTATGACCCTTCTCCTGTCTTCACAAATCTGACTCCAACCTTCTTTCCTAAAGCTCTTGGGGCAATATTTCAAACCTGCAACCTAATCAGAGAAAACCCTTATTTTCAAGTGAGGAAATGTATGCCAGCCAATGTAGCATATCTGTTTTTTTTTTTTAAAGGCTAAACCTTATATGTTAAAATGTAGAGAAGCGGAACAGATATTGGGTGAATGGTGATTCACCCAGGATCACATCTTTCACACCTTGCTGTGAAAAGAAGAAACTGACCATATCTGAAGGGATGCAAATGCCAGAGGTTTGCGTCTGCTTCAAGAGCACCAAACCAACATGATAAACAATAAACATTTGGCCATCACGTCCCCAAATGTTTTTCCTTCCAGTTATCGATTGCATTTGTTCCCTTCCCTTTTCTGTAAGCGAATTTCCTTTACTCTAAGTCCCACTGCAAGCCATTAAGCATAAAGAGTAGAGAATTGCATTCCTTGGCCTCCTACAAAATGGATCCAGGTAGGTTGTATTTCTTATGTGATGAACCATCCCAGAAATTCCAGCCAAACATTCCTTACCTCACCCCCATGAGACTTATGTACGAATACAAAGCAATGAACTATACCAGGTAGCATACTGTGCTGGTGTAGATTTGAGAAACTGTATTTCCACTGTATTTCCTTATGGAATTTCAAAAATCATAACAAGAGCTGCGGCTGAAATTTGTCACTCACTTACATTCATTGGGGGCGGGGGGGATGTCCAGTTTGGCCTAGTGTCCAAGCTTGTTCTTAAAGAAATATATATCTAGTTTTAAGAAAATTCTATGCATAGAAAACCAATCAGAACTTCAGAGAAGCACATAGGCTATACCCAAACCTATCTTCAAACAACTGAATTAAAAATAGATCAACACACGGCATGCAAGCCCATGACAGCACACACGCCCGCATGCATACAAACACACTTGCAAACATAAAACAATTTGTGCCCGATCCATTGTATCTTTACTCAAAAGTAAATTCCAGTGGATTTAGACAGGGGTAATTCCAGCTTGATTATTTCAGAAGCCAAATGAAAAGAATGAGGGGTTTTATTTATTAGGCGTTGAAGAGGCAACCATTCTAAAGGGAGCAAGACAGAAATTTCAGATTTATTCTTGGCATTTAGGAATCATCCTTTTGGAATCCCGATTACCAACTTTGTAAATACGGTGAGCATTATCAGCCAACAGATTCATCATGGTAGTCAAACAGCCAAGCCAATGCAGAATGTAAACTAAACTGGAAAGATTGAAGGCATGGGTGTCCCAGAGAATTACACCAGTCATCTTCTTTCATCAGATTCAACCGATTTCTCACGGCTTTTGCAACCTCAAGATACAATCCAAAATGTAACACAAAATAATAGCTTGAAAAATAAGAGCTGAAATCCTCTCTCTCTCCCTCCAAACATATTCATTCTCTTACAACATAATTTTACACATGCCATGGAAGTATACGCATAATCCCATTGTTTGTAAAAGAAAGACGGAATTAATTTCATATTGAGATATTGATAAATACCAAACACCATGTAGCTCAAACCTCCTTCAACTGCTCTATGTGAAACAAAGAGAAAAGCCAGGTTTCCTTACAATTTGGTAGGAAGGGTGGTTATTTAAAAGGAGAAGGAGCAGCCAAAATTAAAAGAATTTGGTGACCACTCTCGGAAAACATCATGCCGTATAAGAATTGCTTGGGAGGTTAGCTGAGCAAAAACTGACGTGTATTTAGTCCAGGATTAAATGCAGAACCGTAGCATCCGTTGGCTATCGAGGAAGACATTCCATGTAGGGCACAGAAAAAGGAGAAGAAACTAACAGAGATAAATAAGAAACTAAATCTGACCTAACTGTCTATCGACGCCAGAGAGAAAGGTGTCTTTGACCAACCCCTTTACGAATAAACTTTCCGATATTACTCAAACAAGAAATGCGAAGATCAGTCTTTTTTCCTAGATTGCATTCCATCCAGGATTTGATGTCAAGAATTACTCAAGAGTGTTTTCCACTGTTAAAAAAAAAAAAAAACACCACATGAAAAGATATGACCGAAGTGCAGAACAAAACACAGCCAGAAATGGGAGTTTATTAGCAGGAATGAACAAACTTTTATCATCTCTTGGATTAAGAGAGAGGCAGAGTTCCGGGTAGTGTCCCATTTTGAAGGAATGGGGTAATTTCCAGCAGGATTTAACACTAATCCTGGAATGGCTGAAAGGGGGGAGGTAGTTTTTCTGAAGGGGGAAGTGATGGGTGCATCCATTTTGTGAATCTCCTCTTGACCTCTTGCCACTTTTCACGGGGCGGAGAGGGCGGGGGGAGAGGTTCCCACGTGCATATCTGCACACGCAAACCTGGATGCTAAAAATCTGATGAGTAAAATATGTATGATTAAATAGGTAAAATATGCATGAGAGTTAAAATCTGATGAGCAAGATTCTTGAGACAGGAAAAAAAAGGCAGAAAAGAAGGGGGAAAAAATATGGGGACAATGTCCCCATTGAGCCTCAATCATCTCCGACTCTCGTGACCTCCAGGGACCAGAGAGAGAAATGATGCAAATAAGCAGAGGAAGGGGAGAAGGAAGCAATGTTTCTGTCCTCCAAACAAACAAACACACACACACACACACACAAACAACCCTCTCCCTGCCTCTCTTTCAGCCTTCCAGGCTACGGACTACTTTGGCTTCAAATGTTAAATGTCAGCAAACCTCTCGGGCCTGAGACACATCAGTGGGGTTTTTTCCCCCCCTTCTTCTCTTCCATCAAGGAATGTACTGCCATAAAGGCAAAATATCTGTTGGGAAATTGGGGAGGGGGGGGAGGGAAGGGTTGTATTTGTGAGTAGAGTATATCTATTTC